TGCCCCGATTTTCAAAAAAGAGGGAAAAAGAGGATTCTCAAAATTTAGTAACTCCAACCAGCCAGTGAGATGTTTTAATCCCCATGGACATTAGAAATGCATTATGGATTATGAAACAGATATTCTATATGCAATTTTAAAAGGAAGGTGTGATTGCTGAAACCAGCATTTAGTCAATTCAAAGTCATACTGAAAGCAATAAGATTTTCTTTTTTTTTGAGGGGCTGAAGACTAATCAAAGAAATACCACGGATATAGTGTATCTGCATTTCAACAGTGGCAAAGATTTCATGCACCTTTAATACAATAGGTTAATGAACATTATGAATACCCAGAAGCTATTAAATGTAGTACTTTCTAGATGATTTGACCATAAAACCCATGTTTTGTAAAGCAGTTAGTAACATCTGAAAGAACTTGGGTTGGACAGAACACTGTTGGGATACACAAGTCTAGTCTAAGCCTAACAGCAACAGTCTACACTGGTTAAGCAGCCTTTGGGATATGGTGTTTATTTCAGAATACCATTTTTTAAAGGAACCCTGACAAACCAGAGTTTTCCCAAAGGAGTAGACCAGCATAATAGATTATATAAAGCTACACTGTAAAGGAAATAATTGGGAACTGCTATGGACTATTTGTGTACCCCTGAAATCATATGTGGAAACCTTAACCCCCCAGTGTGATGGTATTAAGAGGTGAGGGCCTTGGGAAATGATTACATAATGAGGGTGCAGCTCTCATGAATGGGATTAAGTGCTCTTACAAAAGAGATTTCAGAGAGCTCTCTTGACCCTTCCAACATGTAATGAAGCAGCAAGAAAATGGCTAAGAACCAGGAAACAGGCTCTCACCTGACACTGAAACTGCTGGCGCCTTGATTTTAGACTTCCCAGCCTCCAGAACTATGAAAACTAAATGTTTATTATTTAAGCCACACAGTGAGTATTTGTTTGGTTTGGTTTTTTACAGCAGTCCAAATGAACTAAGAATTATGAAACTATGGAAGAGACACCTTTGGGAGTAGGGCTGACTTACGAGTCAGTTTCAAAATTTTCAATGGGTGGTATATTAAGAAGAAATTAGAATCATTCTGTTTAGTTTAAGCAACCGGAGACAGGAGTGCTATATAAAAGGTATGGAGGGGGGCAGATCTGGGCTGAATACAAAGACTTGTGTGAGAGCAATGACCTTGGGATCTGGCAGTCTAGAATTACATGCCCAGTCCTGCCACTGCCCAATGATGAGTCCTTGATCAAAGGACATACCTCTCAGAATCTCAATTTTCTCATCTGTAATATAGGCAAGCTCACAGAGGTACTGCAAAGTGAAAATCCTAAAGTACAAAATTTGAAATGATCCACACAGTTCCTGGCACACAGTAAGTACTCAATAAATGGAATTGTTGTATTAAAAACACTTACAGTTGCCCAATAATGAGAAGGATGAAGAACATCTGATGGCGGAGAGCATCTCAGTGGTGCAAATGATCAAGCATAATTTTAACTTTTAAAATAATTGAAAGCTTATTGTGGGGGAAGCACACATCAGGGGAAATAGTTGTGATTCGGTTCCTATCTTTATGAGCTAGCAATCACATGGGTACCAGCAGGGCAGATAATGTAACCGTGAAAAAACTTCACTTCTTTAAACTGACTTTTTCTCTTCCTTCTCCTTGATTCAAACTGACCTTGTCTAGTCTGATAGCACCTTGACTTGCTTGCTTCTTTTCTTTCCTTATCCTTCCACCTTCCCACACACTGCGTGTCCACTCCCTTAATCATTACACCCTAAGGATATCAGATTCTGGTCAGCATCAAACAGTCTTAGGAACAAAGCCTCAGGTCTGTTGACCACATAAACACAGTTTCAGTCAAACTAAAGATAACATCTTGACCTCAGTTGTATTTCAGCTCCAGACCCATGAAGGCGGAGTGACCCTACCGGCAATATCCCCTGGAAACCACACAGAAGGATGCCTTAACTGACATCAGGACCTGATGCAGTGATCACTGCCTCCCACCTTAGCCCCAACAATCAGTAAAGCCCATGACCCCAACTCCCTTAGCTACCAGGACGAATGATTTTTCCCTTACATAACCTGTCTTCTAGAGGTCATCAGGGAGCCAGTTCTTAAGGGCACGAGCTCACCTGTATCTTTGGGCTTAGCACCATTTCCTAAAATAAACCTTTACTTTCTTTGCTGCAAATTCCTGTTCCTGCCTCATTGGACTTTGACATATACAGGCAAATGAACTCCTTCAGTTTGGTAACAATAAGGCAAATATATCAATAAACTATAACACAACACAAGGACAAGTGCTATCAAAGTTGCAAGAGGCTCAGAAGTTAATAGCATGAATGCTAATCTTTTTTAGGGAAATATGGAAGGCTTCATGAATGTGGGTAGCACATGAAGAATGGGAAAATTTTCAGTGGGTGGGGTCAGAGGAGCATTATAGAAGAAGGAACTATTATGAGGAGAGACTGCAGGCAGGAAAGCATAGGGATCTAGCCAGATAAGCAGCAGAGTTTGAAGGGATGCAAAGGGAACATAAATCCAGGTGATTTGGCAGGGGTGGGGGGAGGTCACAGAATGAATCTTGGACTTAACTTGGGCAACAGTGGGAAGATGGTAAACATTTGAGGGGAGAGGAGTGACTTTACAAAACTGTGCTTCAAAAAACTGAATTTGGGGCTGGCCGAGTGGCGCATTGGTTAAGAGCTGGCTTGGGACGCCAGAGGGCCCCGGTTCAGATCCCACATATGAGGGCCAGTGACACTGCCCTCTACAGCTAAGATGCTGAACAACAGCTCAACCTGGAGCTGGGCTGCCACGAGTCGCCAGCGATGGCGTAGGCTGCAATCCCTGCTGCAGTGGGTTGCCATGGGCTACCATGTGTAGCCAGCAGCCAGAGTGAGCGGCCAGCAGCCGCAGTGAGCAGCCGTCCAGAAGCCGGCGACTGATCTGCCTCACCTGGGAAGAGCGCAATGATGGTGCCAACTTGGGCCAGTGAAGCAACGTCCTCCACAACTAGACTGAAGAACAACAAAAAAAACCCGACAGCAACTTGTCTGTTCCCCTTCCCCCAATTCCCCAGCACTGTTCCCATCCCCTCAATTCCCCAATAAAAATCTTAAAACAAAAAACCAAACAAACAAAAAAAAACTGAATTTGGCTGTGGCAATAAAAAATTGGCTAGGATCTGTGTGATTCCTAGTACAGGAAAGCCAGTAAGAAAAATAGCACAAGTCAAAAGAGAGCATCTTAAGTAGGTTGGAAGCGATGATAATGGGGAGGAAATCCCTAATGAGACTCACATGAAGGACAAAGTGTTGAAGAATATTTGACAAGTGAGGCAGGTGATGGACTGAGGAACAGAGTGGGTCTTAGTTAAACGTAGGTTTTAGTCGGAACTCGTTAAGATAAGGTCAAGGATATTTCTTCTCAACAGAATAACACACAGTCGACCTTTAAAATATTTGTTTAGTAGATGAGTATATGAATGAGTGATTTGGATTGAGTTCTGAAGAGAAGAATAGAAGATGGTAACAGAAAAAAAAACAAAAGCTTGGGGAGTCAGTGTGAGGGAGGTGAGGCTGGTTGGATAGAGATGGAGTTAAGTAGCATTTGCATGGAGGCCTAGGAGCTAGATTAGGGGTTGGCCACTTAGGATCCATGGACCAAACCCATCCCAGCACTGTTTTTTGGGCACCCCAGGGGCTAAGAATAACTTTTATATTTTTAAATGATTTTTAAAAATCCAGAGTCACGTATTTCGTGACATGTGAAAATGATAGGAAAGTCAGTTTTCAGTGTCTATAAATAAAACAAAGTTTTTGTTGTTTTATTATTGCAGAAGAGGCCAGTCTGCACCTTACAGGAGCAGTAATAATGTGCTAAACACTTTATAAATGTTATCTATGTAATTCTCATGCATTGTTTCCATTTTACTGATGAGCAAACTGAAGCTTACGTTTCGGCCAAGGTCACACGGTTCATTAGCGGCAGTCAGAAACCACATGCACACCAATCTGCCTTTCCAGACTTCCTCACCCCTGGACTAAAAGCCCGAGCTCTAAAAGTCGTGAGACCATAAAATGCCTATAAAAGAGGGTTTGGGGAGTGCTGAATGCTTACAGGGCAGTTTTGGAATGAGTCAGAGGATGGGAATAGTATAGTCAGACACACTTCTTAGAAATGTATATGAATTAATGCATTGAATTCTCACAACTCCTCCATGAGCTGGATACTATTATTACTAACTCTATGCTGGAAAAAGGATGGCTTTCTTAAAGGCCCAGGTAAAAGGCCCAGGGTGTGGATATTTTAACACTCTGGGACTTTTGATGGGTGACACCACTGGACCTCCAAAGGCTTATCCAACCCTAAGTAGCTATGATCCCACATTCAGAAGCACTTAGGGAAGGCTTCCAACAGACTCAGCTTTTACCCTGGTGCCTTCATTCCTGCCCTAAGACTTCCCTTATCCCCACGAGAGGCTTCTGAGACCTAGCTAATACTGCTCTGGTTCCTCTCTGATGGCTTATTTTAAAGAGACTTCCTAAACCACAACAAATTAATCAGTATTTGAAGAAATGCAGCCGATGAGTTTAAAGATCAACTGCTGAGGGACATGAAGACATGAAATTCTCCTATAGAAAACAGGGAGGTAAATGACAGTTTTCTGTCAAAGATTTCAACAGTTATAGGTATCAGAAAGCACTTTGCAGCTTTATAGCTGGCGTGGTTATTCCCGTATTTGTCACCTCCGGCCCTTAAAGCAGCCACTTTCCCACTTGGAACTTACTTGTGGCAGCTGCTGACAAAACAGGAAGTGATTAGTATGTAGTTTGTTTTCAGAGCGCTCTGAACTTTGAGCGTTTTAAAACAAGTTTTAGCAGAGGATTTACTGCCTTGCTCTACTACCTCCAATTCTTATAAAACAACTGTGTAGGGGTTCAAGTATCAGTGCAAAGTCCCACACAAAAACTGACTTAATAACGCGGTTTGCATGCCAGCCATTCCCTTGCATTTTAGATTCCAAGCAAGCTCCTTTTTTTTTTTTTTGGATACAAATTGGTGGGGGTGGGGAGAGAAAAAAGGAACCGGGAAGAGAAGGAAAGGGGAAGTTAAACCTTCCCTCCCTCCCTTTCTTCCTCAGAAAACCAAATATGGCCTCTTCCATGAGGAGTTTGTTTTCTGACCACAGCAGATATGTTGAATCCTTTCGGAGGTTTCTCAGCAATTCCACGGAACACCAGTGCATGCAGGAATTCATGGACGAAAAGCTGCCAGGCATAATAGCAAGGTAACAAAAAAGGACATTTTTGTCAAAGGGACAAGCCTCCGTGCTTTCTTTTCAGTGACAGATGGGTCGAACCCAGCCCTACAGGCTGGGCGAGGGGATAAGAACCTGCTACTGATAGCAACCTCCCTCCCTCCTCGCCCCCCCAACACCACCCCTGTGCCTCTTTTCCTGTGGTGCTTTAGTTAGACATTTGCTTTGAACATTCAAAGGTTTCTATTTGTGCAGCATTTCCAGCTGCATGGAGATAAGCTTTAACCATTTCAAGGCACAAATTCATGTTCATCTGGGAAAAGATTAGATGCAAATCTCTGAGCTCAGGTTTTTCAGCCTTCCTCTAAGTTTTGCATTCAAAAAAATCCCAAGTGGAGTCTAATATTCTTTTCATTAGAATCAAATATAATTAATTACCAAATACTGTTTGCGCCTGAGGATTGAGTGGGTGCCTCTCAGTTCTAATATCCATTTAAATTCATTTTTCTTATCCATTATCACATTCCAAAAAAAAAATTGTCTTTTCCTTTCAACTTAATATTACCAATGTGGCACTACAAAAATGCATTTTCCCATTATCAGTGAAACTCACTAGTTCCTATCCTTCTTGCAGACTACTTTTTTTGGTGATTAATGTGTTCAATTTGTGCCAGGGCTGATAAGCATTATGAGAGTAACAGATTCCACATGCTAAAGATAATCAAATCACTTATCTAGGGGTGGATTGCTGTAACTTACTCTGCTTCAGGAAATAATGATGGAAAACTAGGAAGAAATGAGTGACTGTAGATCCAATTTGCAACAGCAAAAGAACTGATATTTTATCTTTTGCTGGCTTTCTCTATTATAGGCCTGAAAGTTTCTCACCAGGATAGTACAGTACTACCTGACCACAGCAGACATTGTTGGATGTATATGAAATTGTTGCCCTTTCTACAATATTTTTCATGGTTCAGTTTTTAAATGAAAAAAATGTTTTCAATTGCAGTTGCCATACAATTTAATGTGTTTTTTTAAAAACTAGAGTATTATATAATTTATTAATAATTAAAAAGTAATAGAATAATGATGCAAAAATCAAAACAGGCAGCAAATACAAACTTCTTATTGGGGAACTAACTATAAGTCACTCCTTTGGGTCTTTTTGTTCATTTTTAAATTAAAGGTAATGAGTTAATTTCTGAGTTTTTTGAAGAACTAAATGTCTGTGTTCATGTCTATAGCTTATTCACATACCTGGTTTTCTTTAGCCATCAGTTTGGTTTGAAGAAGCACCATGGATGGATATAACATAATAAATGATGATCCCTATCTTCAAGGTGTATACAATCTAATTGGAAATTTTGAATGTAGAATTTGATCTGAAGAACTTTCAAAGGCAAACTTATTTTGCATTATAATTAGGAATGATCTATATCAAAGTATCATTTATTCAAAAAGTAATTTTTTTTTCCTGAAGGTGATGTTTGGATGAGAGTTAGCCAAAGCACCTTTAAATTGCTGCTTAAAGTTGTTTCTAAGTTACTTGTAGGCAATATGCCTACTTAATTTTTCACTCCAAAACAATATTTTTCAAGGTCGGATGGTTCTAAAAAGCTTATAACAGCAACAAAAACACTAGTTTCTTGCCATACTGATTCCCATCCATGAGTCCCACTCTCCAGAAGCAACTACTTTCAACACTGAAATCTTTTAGTTGTTTCTTATGGAATTTTCTTTCCTAATTCTAAATAACTTGTTTTTCTTCTCTAAGCTTATTGTATTAAAATAGCTACATAATCATGCATATTTCCTCCCTTATCATGTGAACGTATTTCAAAATTTTTGTATAATTTGAGTGTTTATATCATTTTGCCTCTATGCATATTATTTATAATTGAACAATGTATTATACTACAATTACATTCCCTTTCATGTACAACTTTTCATTGTTTTACCTAGTTAACTACTGTTTTGATTTTAGCTTCTTAGTTTTCTATGTACCTATCATTACTAATACCCCAACAAGCAGAAGTATTAATCTCCTCTCAATATATTCCAACAGATCAAGTAAACTGTTAACTTTTCCTATGGGAACACCTTTTCTTGATCTCTCTGTTCTTTTTTCCCCAGTCTGTGGTGATTTGCTCTTGGCCTGCTATATAATTATAAATAAGGGAATTTATTTCACGTTCTAGAAATTCTTTTCTTCTCTCTCTAGTATTGGATTCCCTGATTCTGGGTCTTATGCCAGTCTTTTCTTGCTTTCCTTAGTCTTGCTTCATTTTTTTTTTCTTTTTTCTTCAGTTAATCCTTTAACACCTTCCCAAGAAAAGTTTACATGGGAGGTAAACTTTCTGAGTCTTTGTATATTCAAAATGCCTTCACTTCATGCTTATCTTTGTTGGATAGTTTGACTAGTTATAAGACTCTACACTGAAATGACTTTATATCAGAAATTTAAAGGTATCCTTCTATTGTTTTTTAGCTACCAGAGTCACTGTTGAGAAATCCAACACTGTTCAAATTTGTCATCTTTGGCTTATGACCTTTTTATTGTTTTTTGTTTTGTTTTTGTTTTTCCTACTTAGAAGCTTTTAGGATCTTCTGTATCTAGTATTGTAAAATTTTAAGATAATGGGTTGTGGTGTGATTACTTTTCACCCATTTTTTTGGGGTTTTGCCTGAGACATTTCAATGGACCTTCAGATCCTTCAGGGAAATTTTGGTATTTTTTACCCATTCCTCCCCCTCTCTTTTTCTCTTTCTGGAACTTGTATTCATCAAATACCACTCCTCCTGAATTGATTCTTTAATTTTCTTGTATTTCCAATTTTTTATATTTTTTTCTTTCAGCGCTTCTATTAATTTTTTGCTATTATATTTTTAGTTTCCAAGAATGTTATATTGTTATAGCATCCTGTTCATCTTTCACACATGTAGTACCTTCTTTTATCTATTATAAAATTGTCCACTGTTCTCTGCATGTTGAGTTCTGTTTTTGTTTCTTTTGGTCTCTGTCTCTCATGGTAGAAGAGCACCCCAAATATTTGATTAGACTGGTTGTCCATCCAATCAAATAATGAGGCACTCAAAAGTGATTCAGGTCCTCCTTGTATATGTAAGGGGGGAGTTTGTTGAGTGGATAGCTCACTGTAGCAATTAGATGTGGACTCAGCCATTTGTTGGGAGATTCTCAGATGTCAATATATGCCACTTTACTCACTGAGATAGTTTGTTTCTCCAGGGAGGAATTCTTCAGTCCCCTATCTGGAAGTGAAGAATGGGGTAGGGAGAGTTAGGGTATATAGCTGTAAATAGTAAGCATTTTTTTGTTGTTATATGTAATGCATTTAGATCCTTGCCTGGAAAATAGTAAGTTTTCAATAATTATTAGTTATCATTATAATATATGAAATAGGATAATAGTAACTCACAGAGGAGTAGTGAGGATTCAGAGAGTTAATTCATGTAAATCCCTTAGCTATGCCTAGAATAATAATTGCTAATATATGTTGTATGCTTGTCATGAGCAGACATATTTCCAAGAGATTTAGATGAATTAAATAATTTAGTGCTCATAACTCCTCCATGAGTTAGACACCATTATTACAATCCTATAAGGTAGATGGTATTACTATTCTATTTCATAGGTAATAAAGATGCAGACAAGTTAAATTAACTTGTTCAAGGTAACATATCAGTAAACTGGAATTTCAGCCTGGGTCTCTGCTCCATAGCCTCACTCTACTATCACAGAAAAGCATTTTTAAGAATTAACCAAGAGCATAGATAGGAATGGATATATTAAGACTCATGGTTATGAGTTGGAAGATAAGTAGAACTAAGGAAGGCAACTCATTCATAGGTGTCCTTGACTCTATACTTTCCAGTTTCCTTAAGAACCTTGCTTTAACCTGTCTTCATCCTAGTACTCTGTGTAGGCTCTTTCACTTTAGCCAAAGAACAGATTTATTTACCATCCTAAAGCACAAACAAACAAACAACATCCTTTCAGTTCATGTCTCCCCTCTAATAGTCACCATTTTTCTTCTCACTCTTTCATCTTATTTCAACAGTCTCTCTAGGTCTTCTTCCTCTTTATCAAGTTCACTTTTAATCCCACTGCTATCTGACTTCTGCCCTCAACCTCCTTTTAAAACTGCTATTATCAAAGACATTCATATTGCCAAATTCAATGGAGATATTTCCTTTTTTATTCTTTACCAGTACACTCCACAACTTTTGACACTACAGATGGCTTCCTCCTTCTCTAATACTCCTATCGTCTCTGAGATTTACTGCTTTCCTCTGTCTTCTTCCTCGTATACTTCCCATAATCTAGAGACTTAAAAGTTGGTGCTGCATTACCACCCACTGTTCTTCTATTTGCAATATCCTTGGGTGATGGCATCTACTCTCCTAGTTTCTACCATTACTGTATGACAACATTTCTCCAGAATACATCACTGATGCTGATCTCGCCCACCCAGATTAAATCTTGCACATCCAGATGTCTGTTGAATTCAGATTTATCAAAACAAAACAAACAAAAGCCCTAACAAAATGTAAGCTTGCCATCAAACTGTATTCTCCAGCTTAATTTTTAGCTCCATGCTTCACCAAGTCATCCAAGCTGGAAACTTGGCAGTCATACTTTTTTCTGACCCCTTTACATCAATCTAAAGCAAATCATACTGTTGTTTTCCAGTTCATCAATCCCACTCTATTTCTAGTACTAGAGCCATAATATTGGGCTTTATTATCTCACATTTCACTTGAGAGCAAAGTAGTATCTTTTTCATTTTTATATTCTCAATGCATAGAATAGGCATAGTAAATATTTAATAAACACTGTTCACTGAAAAGAAGTTAGCAAGGAGGAAGAAAAGAAGGCAGATATCATAGAGATAGTATGAATCGCCTTTTAGCCTTTTCCCCATATACAGTGAATGGCTACTTATATCACCAGATTCAAAGGTCCACTTTTTCTGTTCTTTTCCTCCAAATAAATTCTAAACAAAATGGTTTATCCTGAGATGTTTACAGTGTGTTTTGAAAGTCTACCAGTTCAAGATTGCTAATGAATGAAACCTATATTTCTGAAGATTTCTAAAGACATCAATGTAACTACTGAATAATTGGAATATTTTATGTTAGCCTAATTTTTATTCCCTGTAATTGTAGTCTGTTCTCTCAACTAGATTTGATAATCAGATTTTACCAATTATCTAGCACATTTTTCTTAAACTACATTTTTTTTTTCAGGATTGGAGACACAAAATCAGAAATTAAGATTCTCAGCATTGGCGGAGGTGCAGGTATAAATAACACATTTTCAAATTTGTATTTCACTCTAAGCATCATGATGTTTGATGGAAATAGTGTTTATTTTTTAGGAAAGCTATTTTGCTTTGCTTTTGGAAGAGAGTATGTTACTAAAACTAGTAAGAGCAATACCACTTCCTAGAAGATTAATTAATGCCCCATAGATTTACAGGGTTTATGACATCAGCCTCCATTACTATCTGTAATATAGATAAGATGTGGCTTTCATTTTTACAAATGGAAAAACATATAGGATGTATGTATTTGGATAACTTTTATCCAAAATGATTTAACTGTTCACAGAAAAGGAAAATTTCATACAAAATTTCTTAAGCTTGTTCCACTTAAAATGTGGTCCTTGGACTGGCTGCTGGTTTGCAAACTGTTACCAGTCCACGAGGAGATAAGTGTGCATTGGGGTGTAAATCATTGAGAAACTATTGCTATGGGAAAAAAATATGCTTAATGACAGTTAATTTATACTCTTGTGGCCCCACTCTTTGAGCTGCACTTGCCTAAACTACTCCCTTCCTCTGATTCAGTTCCAAAACTGCCTTGTAAACATTCAGCACACTCTCCAGCCCCCTTTTCTAAGCTTTTCAGGATCTCATTACTCTTAGAGCCAGTGCTTTTATCTTAGGGGAAAATGAAAAGTCTGGGAAGGCAGATTGATGTGGGTGTAGTTTCTGACTCTGGCATCAATGAACTGTGTGACCTTGGCTGAAACATAGGCTTCAGTTTTCTTACGGGAACAATGAATTTTATCTCATAAGGTTATAGTGAGAATTATATAATAACATTTATAAAGTGATTAGCACACTACTACTGTTCCTGTAAGGTGCAGGCTGGTCCTTTCTGCAAAAATAAAACAAAAATTCCATCCCCAGGCTTTGCCTCAAATCAAATGCCTGAGTTGTATTTTCTTTATTTTTAAATTGCTAGTCATCTGGAGGCATGAGTTAATGTATTAATATATAAAATGTGGTCATATATATTATTTCTGTCTTCCTTTCTCCCTCTCTTCCTTCTTTCCTTCCTTCCTCTTTATTGTTTTCTTTTGAAATAATCACTGAGTGATGGCTTAGTATTTGTTACCACTTGGTAACTAGTGGATATTACAATACCATTTGTTACACAGTGATATGTGGTAACCTCTTGAGCCTCTTAAGTATACGAGTTTTAGCACCACATGAATGAGTAAATTGTGGCCCATATTAACACAAAGATAACCAAGAGCCTTCTAATAGAATGGGATAGCTACTTTTTTCATGTCATCATTTGTTTTTCTCATAAATACACTGCACTATAATGTAATAAAGACTAACCCTTAAAATCATTTTACTTTATCATCTTTCACCAATAAAATAGAAACCAACAAGGACAAATAATAAAGGCTATTGTCACGAATGATCTTATAGAGAGTTTGAACTAAAATATTCTATTATTGCTTACTTGGTATATTAAGTCCTAAAGATTATAAGAGTGATGAATTGCCTAAAGAGTGCCCTAGTAATTCATTTAACCAAGACCGTCACTTCCAGTGTGTTTTGCATATGAGTTTCAGGCAAACAACAGGCAATGAGACTATCATTTGATATTGTCACTTGTGCTTGGACAAGAAGAGAAGCCTTACAAGGAAAGTAATTAAAAACAATCTCTATTGTGGCCAAGTTAATTGACCTTCTAATATAAAGTTAATTGAATTTCTAATGTAAATTTATCCAGATGCTTATAAGCTATCTAGACATAGGAACGTTTGGCCTACACAGTTATTCTTTACATAAAGGTGCACATAGGAATATAGAGAACTTATCAAAATAAAGGGTTCTGACTGAACCCCAACATTGTATTAAAAGCAGGCTCTCCCTTGGGGAGAATATGGGTGCCCATTAAGGTTACTCTTCATAAGATATTGATCAGAAATATAATAACTCCAAGGAAATTCTAGCTATAGATACATAGCTTTCATGAAATCAAAAATAAAGTAAGCTACATGAAATCAAAAGCAATACATTTAGTCTCGAGGTCTAGATGTCCCTGGCCTGAAAGAGCAGTGTTTTTTAGGGGAGAGGACACCCCACTCATTTAGTTTGAGTGCTCATATACCAACTGGGGCATGCTTATCTGATTACTTGTCATTGCCTAACTTTGAGCATTGTGCAAAAGAACAATATATTACTATACAGTGAGGAATTTTCTATTCTTGCTTTGGAGAAGTGGTCTCCCTACATGTTCTAGTCTACGGGTGTGTCTGAGACTTTTGCATTAGCCTGTGGCTTGAGCATCCTTCCAAATCAGTCACTGAACTCCAGTCCCTGGCAAACCAGGTCCTTTGCCCTGGTACCAAAGGTCTGGTACCTTTGGTTCAGCTCCCATAATGCATCTTACAGGAATCTACTTCAGTCTTAGTTTACAGTCCTCTCTGGTTTTACCTCCTAGGTGTTCTCTTCTTGTTTGCCCAAAAATCCGCAGGTCCTATTCTGCATATCTCTGGTATAAAAGTTCTCTCTGCATTCATAACGGTGCTACCAATTCTCCCCACCACAATGGAAAAACATACCAAAAGCAACAAACTAAAAACTTACCTACATGAAATTTGTGCTTTTATTTCACTTAATGCTCATGTTGTTTGGTGGCCTGTTTGATTTTCCTTTCAGAAACATGAGCAGGTGTTGCATATGTACCCTTTCTGTCTCCTGACTCTCTTCTGTTGAGGTTGATGTTTGTGTGGAGACAGGTTCCATAGTTTAAGAGACAATGCAAGTATTTGAAAGAGGTTTTTGGCAATTTCACTTCAGAAGCCAAGCAATTATTAGAGCTCTGGGCAGTTCAAAATGAAGGACATCGGTGGCAAAGTTTGCATGTCATCTTTATGTAATCTACTACATCAGTAAATACAATTGATAAATAGTACTGTTATTCATAGATTATGTGTTTAATGTTAGGAAAATGTGTGAAATATGTGACACCAAAAAAAGAAAGAGAGACAATCAGGAGAAAAACAAATCATGAAATACAGACCATGTAGCTTTTACAGAGGCCAGACTGGGAAGAATAAAGTTGTGTGTGTATGTGTGCTTTAATGAAACACAGTGAGTAGCCGAGATTGCCTTATTCCAGGTCTCAAAGTATTCATACCATGTTCATTTCAGCAACTGTGTTTTTAGATATTGAGAGCAATTGCTTTGTATTTTAAATCTCATAGAGTATGCTTTTTGGTTAATTTTCGACATTGATGTTTCCTAAAATTAAACTACCCAATGGAGCTTCATTATTATTCAACTTTTAATGAGTGTTGTCTACATGGTACATAGAGAAAAAGAAACTCGTACTTTTTTTGGTAAGGGAGAATGCTATTAATTTACAGTGCATATACTTAAGCCTAGAGAAATGTTCCCAAAGGCAGTAATGAGCAATGTGTTCCCCTTGCTGTGGGCTCTGCTTAAAGGAGAATCATTTTATCTGCTGCACTGTGCAGTTCTTATGTTTAAATGCCAGAAAGTTTTATAGGGGTTAGACACGACTAGAACTCAAATAATCTCATTTTATCTAGTTTACCACTTCTATTCTTATTAAACTATTATGTACCGATTCAATTGCTATGCCCTATAAAATAGTATATATGTTTATAGAGTATTTTTCAATCCACTAAAGTGACTTGCATATGAATTATTGGCGATTTGAACCCTCTCATAACATTTTTTGGTTGCTGACAGCAGTTAGGTGGTTTTCTTGTTCTATAACATAGGGACACCAGCATTCCTACAGAGGTTAAAAAATAAAAGACCATCGACATCCTAAATTTACAAATTAAAAACCTTAGAACCACCAAATCAGAACAAAACTCAGGCCTCTTGACTTTAGTCCAGTCCAACAAATTGTACTAAACAGATATAATAGTTAATTTTTGACTTGGCAAAGGAGCAATTAGGTACTTAGTAATGACTGGCTATTTGAAAATCTAATCTTCTCTTTCCATAAGTGACATGTTAGGGTGACACAGAGGTTTCTTTTTCTAAGTTAGTTAGAAATGGAACAAATAATTAGGGCTGGAACTGAAAGAGCCAGTGTGTCAGGTTTAGAAGCCAGAAGGTGGTTTAAGAAGCAAAGGTTAACGTTTTCCAGTGGTTCAGAGTAAGCCAACAACCTGTATAAGTAAATTAGGAATGACTGGAGAAATATGGGGTGTTGGGGGAATTTTTGCCCTGAAAAATAAGAATATGAATGTGCTTACTGCCATCTTAAAATATTCCCTGTTGATCAAACTACAAAGTATTTGTCCCTAATGGGCCAATGATTGAAAGATTTCTTGGTTCAGTATTAGAATTTACTAGTGATCAAACCTGTCCAGAAATGAAAGGGCACATCTTGGGACGTAAAGAGCTATCTGTCACTCTAGGAATGTCAGCATAGGCTGGAAAAATACTTTTCATACATCCTATGGAAGGGACTTTGACACTGATTTCTTGGGTGGTTGGGCTGTTAAATGTGCTTTCAGTCCAAAATATTTATGGTTTAATAAGTAACCTTCTAGAAAGAGGTAGGCATTGGTGTGGCTAACACCATGTTTGGTTATATTTAGAAAGTGGAATCTATATGGGACTTCTAGATATGCAGACAATTTTTAGTCTTCATTCTAATTGCTTATAACTTGAAATAAGTAAGTACTGTTTTACATATGTGCAGCCTACTAGCAATTACTCCATTATTAGAAGGATATGTACTCTAGTGATTCAATAATAAAACAGGATTTAGGACGGTCTTCTTCAGGTAACCCTCGTTTGGAGCCTTAGGTATAAAGTATTGTTAAAGACATTCATAACTCAATTATTTAAAACATAAGTTATTCTCCACATATAATTTTACCAAAAAATAGTGTATCTCATTGTATTGTATTTAAAACTTGCAGTAAACATGAAATTATTGTAAAAGACAGATACATTTCAGATTTGAGAGAACCAAAACATGGTGATAACAACCCTGGAGCCATTGT